ATGTTACATCTGGTGGCATCAGCAAAGGCACATTTCAGCTTAAGCTGATTGTTTGACAGGATTTTCCTACAGTTATCAATTAACTCTTGTATGCGAATTTTCATAGCTAGTTTAACTGTTGCATTTTATAAAACAGAAAAGAGTATCAACAAGCAAGTCTGACCTTCTCTGCAAAGTTCCTATCCCCAGAGGTATTTAACAGTTGGGTAGACATAATGCTTATGGATATGGTTTAATCAGTGTTATGTTCATGACTGGACTTCATGATCTTACAGGTCTTTTCCAATCCAGGTGATTTTGTGAATGAAAACTAAGGTTGATTTTTTCTGCAGTTGAAGCATTTCGCTTCTGAAGGTGGTGTGTTTTTATTGTTTGCAATGGATTGTTGTAGATAGAATGTCAACATTGATTATGTATTTTAACAAGTTTTATTGGAAAGGTATTTTTTACACTTATGAGAGCTGAAGAAAAATCATAATCAGTTCTATAATCTTTTAACACCAAATAGAAGTAAAAATGTTTTGTAGCATTGCCACAGTGAGGTCTAAGAGGCTGTCAGTAAAAAGTTTAAGAACTGAAAGAAATCACAAGTACTAACAAACCTGGCTGCAGTTGTGAGATGTAACTCTTGATGTCTGAAAAAGCTTTCTTATGTGGAAACTAAATTTGAAACGTGGAATACTGGCAATGAATTAATATGCAGTGTAGTGTCATCATCAGTTACATGGCATACTATACACCCACAGAGTAGGCTTGCTTGTTTTATCGGCCTGCTAGGTATTTATAAAGTTAGGGCCTTCTGCTTATTTTGCATTGTCTAATGTTTTTTAAAGATACTTTTGAATATCCTGAACCAGTATTTGGCATAAAAGAGGCAATACTCAATCCTGCTTCCAGGGAAAACACTTTTTTAATTAAGTAGCTGTGTGTTAAATGGAGCTTGGTCTCACAAACAGTAACAGATCAAGATCTTAATTATTAACAGGTTTTTTTAAAAACTTACCAGCATTTGAAAGGGGGAGCTTTTTTAGCTCTCTTAGTGCATAAATATTTCTCCCAGTAGCTTTTCATATCTGTTTCTGATAGTATCCATGACATTGAAGGCCAGTAGCATGTATTGGCCCTGATTTCCCTTACTTGACTTGTCACATTGCTCTGTGGGGCTTCCTAATGTGACACTGATGCAAGGCTGGTTTTAATAAACAAAATGTGAATGACATTTTGAAGCCTTAGTCTGGTAGAACTATACAGTTGAGTAAAGAATCTAAAACAACAAACAGAAACCGAAAATCCTGAAGTATCTTTAGTTCACTTATGCTGTGACTTCCAGTTGAACAGAAAGCTACAATATTTCTAAATCTTCCATCGCATCCTTTTGTATCAGTTTCTTCTATCCATGGCATATGCTTTTCCCCGTTCTCCTTAAGTGGTTTCTACTGCTGCTTCTTCGGGTTTATTCTCATTGCCACAATAGGAAGTGAGGCGTTGCATATCTTCCAGCTGTTGAGTCTCTCACCTTTTCAGCATCATCATTTTGGCAAATACCACTGCTTCATCTTCCTTTGATTTTGCCTTGCTTGTTGTTTTATACAATGTGATAGACTGGTATCGTGGAGAAAAGACTATGTAGTAGTAAAACCTCCTCACTTTGCATTGCACTGATCATTAATGCTGAACTGCAGTGGACTTTGTGGGTTTATACACTTAGGATGGCAATCTCTATCATTAGCAAGCAGGTTGTGAAAGGAAGGAAGAAACAAAACTGTATTGTGTCTGCAGCTTTTTAGAAGGGTTTTTTTTTGGGTGGCTTTGCTGCTTTTATCACTTGCAGCTCAAAATACTCGTTTGAATACTGCTCCTTCTACATAAATTCTTACAGGAAAAAGGCATGTAAATGGCAAGGCCAGATGCATGAAAAGCAAAGCAAAATGTTGCTGGGAAGGAAACTGAGTTACATTATTTTAAAAAAGAAAAAAGAAAAAAGAAAAGAAAAAAAAAGACCTCCCTCCATCATTTCATTAGTTAACTTCTATTTTTGCTTCACTGGGAGCTCTTTAAGGATAGCATAACAAAGATCCTATTGTACTGCCAGGCGCTTTGCTAGCTGTAGCGGCTGCTGCAGTTAATTTTGTCTTTCACATCTATTCATACGAAAATGGGTAGTGCTGCTGTTGTACAGTATTTGCTGTAATGATCTAGTTTAAAAATTGTTAATCGAAGTTTGGACTTGGTGTGGCAACACCCTCAACTAGTGGAAGAAAAGTAATACTTGTCAGGAGGAGCCTTTTGTCTGCCAGTCTCTAGTTCAGAAGTAGCAATAAGAACTAATACTGCCTACCTAGCTGTTCCCGTATTTCAGGAAAAATAAGGAAGAAGATGAAGTATGCTTTCTTCCATGGGCTTAATGCAGAATCATAGAATCATAGAATCATAGAATCATAGAATGGCCTAGGTTGTAAGGGACCTTAGAGATCATCTAGTCCAACCTCCCTGTTTTGGGCAGGGACGCCACCTCTCGACTAGACCAGGCAACACATGGGGACCGAGCGGGAATCGAACCCGCGGCCTCGTGACTGGATCTTTTCTGGCATTATTTCTTCTCAAGAAAATCCATGGGAGATTACTGCTAGTGACTATACTAGTCTGTTTTGCTGTACTTGTGCATCAAGCAGAGAAAGTGGAGTAGTAATGTATTTGCTAAACTGGACTATACTTTTTCTCTAGCTGCTTCAGTATGCCCTCTTCAGATTAAATAAGCTGCCTTTAAACAAAAAATGAAATTTGAAATAACACATATGAGCTGGCCAAACCACTATGCTGATCTGGGTTGCATATACCTTGCAGCTTGATCTGAATAATTGTTTTCCTAGTTGCTACTTAATTCATGAAGTTAGTTTACTACTAAGTCATGAAACAAACCCAAGAATACTACTTGCTTAACAAAGAGACCTCTTTTGTGGGCCACCTTTCTGAGGTTTCTTCCAAAGAAGCAAAAGCAGTAACCGAATTCTAAGCAAATGTGTAGGCATTAAAACACTGTCTGACAGTGTCCTGACCCAGCTAGACTTGCTTTATTTCTGCACCCCTGGCTAACAGGCTTTCTTTTAACTTGGGGCTCTCTGCTTATATGTATGTTCAGTTTTTCCATCCAGACAATTAGTTGTCTTTGGGAAGAGTGTTAAAAAAAAATTGAAAGCACTACAGGTTTTAGACCATCACAAGAGTTTGTGAGATCTGTATCTTTGGAACCTTGTATAGTTTTCTTTGAAACAGAAGCAGGTATTCACTGCCAAATGTATGACCAACTGCTGACCTTATTGTCAGACTAATGAATATAGATCTGCAAGTTCATGATTTTCTTACACATCCTGGCTTGCTGTGATACTAGTTTTAAGTCTGAATGAGGCTGTTATTGCTTTATACAGGTAGTTGATACTTATATCCCCATGAAATTGACAGTTACAAAAAGCACTGTTAAATAACATGACTACAACTAGACTGGTTCAAAGATAGAATAAAGAAGTGAACAGATTTGGTTTTTTGTGCTAAGCTTTTTCTTCCATAAAGCACACAGAACATCAAATAAGCTCTTATTTAATGGCAAATACACATAATACCTCAAACTATCTGAATTATAAATTATTAGTTGTCTTGCTATGTGTTCCTTTTTATTTTCAGTTTCTGCAGTGTGGAAAACAAAGCACGTGGTGCCATTTTCATCTACACTTTTAAAAAAAAATCATGTATACAAAGGGGTTACGTAACAATTTCTAATTATAAAAGGACTCGTTAATGAAATTTTGTGTAGTAAAATACGTATCTCTATGCAACTGTGTATCTCCTCTGACAGTGAAGAATTACTGAATAAACTGGTCATAAAACCAAGGGGAAATACATAATACTGCCTAGGAATAAAGTCTACTCTTTACCCTCCAAATTCAGTAGTAGGTCACTGTAGCAGACTGTGTAATACATTTTTTTAAAAAGAGATGGAATCTCAGTGCTACAATAAAAGATCAGTGTTTACCGATTACAAGTGAAATTCTGCTAAATCTAAATGTCAAGCTGAAAATTCTGCAGTTTTAAAATAATGCTAGTTTTTCTACATGACAAGTTCTTGATTCTTAAAACATGTCTAATGATCTCATTCATTACACATGCAGACTTCTTACAAAAGTAAGTCTTGCAATTAGGATTAAATTCAGTTTGGTGTAAACACAGAGTAAATTGGCTAAATTTGATTTGATACCAGCAGAATGTGCACTTTAGTGCAGAACATGGTGCCTAATTTTTTCCTTCTGAGTGGAAAAGGTACAATTATTTTCTTCGTGAGTCCTATACAGTAGAATGATTTTAACTAGGAAGATTATTGCAATGTGTTATTTCATTCTTTTGAGTATATTAAGTTTATTACTGAAGAATTTTCCTGTTCAAACTTCCCTGGAAGCAGGAAACAGAGAAGACAACTTTCTAAACACTTTAAAGCATTTATGTAACATGTCAGTTTGTAGAACTCATTACAGACAAATTCTAATGATCCTAAGTATTAGTATAAAGGACCTTCAAATAAAATCAACTGGGTGAACGCCATTGCTGTGCTTTAGGAAAGAAAACCCTAGTTTTCTGTCCAGCTATCTAACAAAACAATACTGTAGGAACAGGAAATTATAAAAAACAAAGCACTTTTCAAATCTGTTCTGCATTATTACTTCTCATAGTTTAATATTTTAAACGATAAAAAAGTCTGCATCATGTGATGATGCAAATATTAACACAAGTTTGTAGAATTCCATACAGTATCTGCTAAATAAATGAGTTTGGCAGCTTAGCAAATATCATATGATTGCAGCATCCATGATTTGAATTCGAACAGTGATTCATTCTTCTGCAAAGAGTTTGTAAATCAGAATATCACACTCCTGGGTTCTGGACGGTGTCTGACCCCAACAAGTTTGAGGAAGCTATTTTCAGTGCACGTCTCCTGTGCAGGACCGCCAAAATCAAACGACTGTCTCCTTCGAGTTCCTTTTGAGAGACTGCAGGCCTAGCAGGGACTGTTGGTTGGAGGGGACATTGGCAGACTTTGGGATTAGGAGTATCACCCGCTGATTGGTCCGACGCCATTCATTGTATAATCTACAGTGATACCGAAAGGATACCTGGGGAGAGAAGAAAGATATACTGTGTTTAGAGTCATCATGTTCCTCCGAGGAATGCGGTTTAGGGAGAAATGCCTCCAAGTGGAACCAAAAGCTGATAAGCAGCCTAATTGGGTGGGATAAAGATGAGACCTAATGCGTAGGTGGCTTGTTCCTCAAGTTGCCACAGCAAAAAAGAGAAGCAGCCTGTGCCCTGCCTTCTGCTGTTGCCTACCCCTCAATTCCCTTTTTAATAGCATGAAAAATCAGACATCCTGCTTCTGTCTTTCACAAGAACTAGAATTTTTGGCAGCCAAGTAGAATGAATTTGGGGTACTATCATGCTACAGCTTGTTAAACTGACAAATAATGTAATTGACTTGATGGTGAAGGCTTGTGGGAAGATAAGCTGTGTGCAAACACTGACAAGGTTGCATGTTCCACTTTTAACGCTTTATTGCTGAATGCAGCAAGCTCAGGATTGCAAAGATGCAACAAGGTGAGTGTGAGCCATCTGCCAACATGTCTGTACATCAATTTAGACTGCCTTTGGAATTTTTTTTAGTTGTTATCAGCTAACCAGTTTCAAGTGTAGTGTGGTACTGCTAATAATGGAAGAGAAATGTCTGACTGATATAGATATACAACATATATTGGCCTTTTCTTTTCTTAAATGGTTTGTTGTTTATTTAGTGATAGCCAAGCATACTGAGTGTACATGTGCAGTTTAAAAAGCTCACAACACAACACAAAAACTGTAAACTGACTTGGGACCTTTTGGGTGAAATGTGAACATGAAAAGTTACTGTGTCCTTTAGCTGTGAACAGGAGGGACCCACACAGTAAGCAGAGGAGGAACCTTGTCTTGGTGGTTGTTTTGTCTTCATGTGCAGCCAGCCACTTGTCACCAATTTTTATGCACTTGTGCCACTTCTGCAGGTCAGTGCTGTTCAGAGGGTGCCATAAAGGCTGGATGTAACATGCATGATTTGCACGGGCCAGTGGAAGATGCTGCTGACTGTATTTGAAGAGAATTGGCTCTGCTGCTTCGTGTTCTTACCCCTACCGCAATGACAGGCCAGCTGCCAGTGAGACTGGAGGGAAATCAAGTAATAAAAAGCCTATGAACATCTCCTTCAATACCCTTTCCTTACTGCAAAAGTTGTGGGGTTTTAGCTAGATATATTATTTATGTTTCTATAAAATCATACCAGGGATAAAAGAAAAGACTTTCTAGATTTTTTATTAGATCTTTATATAGCTGTCTGCTGTTAGCGAGGGAAACCTATAGGGCTTTTGTTCACTAAACACTTCCCTAAAGATAGCTCTTCCAACAGATTAATTGATTCCCCACCTTTCACTCTCTTCTGCTCTCCCTGAAGGTAAAGCAGTCTGCAACTTCATTTCTGTGGAATGTTGTATATGAAAGAACATGAGAAATCGCCCTTAAAAAAGGCACTGCAATATCAGCAGAGAGAGGAAGGTAAAAAAACCCACCACAAACCTCCTGCAAAGATGAAGACCCTGCAAAGATGAAGGCTGTGCAAAATGCAGTGACTGCTTCAGAGGAGTGAGCCAGAGTTTAGGCTGAATTTTCAAGAAGTGTCACATGAGAGATTCTTTGAGGAACAGCTGCATCTTTAACCACTTGTTTGTTTAAGGCATTTTCACAGGATACCCTACTTAAGTTTGACAGCTTGTTTGCAATAGGTTCTTGCCTGGAGACAGTTTCTGAAAGATGTCATACACTGAATTCCAGCAGAGCCATAGTTACTCACTTTAAGCTGTTAACACTGGATGCAGGACTCCTGATATGCTGAACGAAGGCCAGATATAGTGTTCGTCGCACACTAAACTCCTTTGTTTGTCTCTTCAATAGGATAGCAAGGGGGTTGTCTGTCTTTCTAACTTACACTAAATAAATTTGGGCTAACATTTGTTTATAATTATGTTGTATGGTTTGTTATACTGGAAGCTATAGAGCCAAATCCTGTTGTACTCTAATCTGCTACTTGATTTTATGAGAGTCAAGTCCACCTGCCTGCAAAAGAAAGTGTGGCCCTGAATTTACTTTAAATAGTAGTCTCTGTGTTGTGTCTGAGACTTTCTTCTCAGTAGTAGCAGACTTTTTTTTGTGTGTGTGTGTACATCAGTTATAGTGATTAAGCATAGAGGAAAAGCAACAGCATTTTACAGAGAATATGGCTGTTTGAGGGGAAGGTATAAAATAGCTTCTTGGGTGCTAAAAATAGCATCTCTCCCATTTTCTGCTCACTACGTTAACTGCAGTGTGTAAATAATCTATATTCCAGCTTTTGCCTCCAGAGAAAATGCTGATTTATTGGAAGTAAAATGAAGTTTTAGTCTTCTTAATTTTCCCAGGACCTAAAGGAGCATTATATCACAAGTTTTGCGTAATTTACCCCACAGCACACAACATATTCCCCACACAGCCATAACTAAGCAAGCAGTACAATATTCTCCTATTTCAGAAAATTAAAGTGCAGGTACTGCTGAAGCACTTGATGGGGCTAGCGCATCTGCGTGCAGGTCCATTCCTACCTGCATGGCAAGGGGTGACTTGAGCCTTCAGAAAGCAAATGCAGGCTGGGGCTTTCCTACATGACTGCTGAATAGAGAGCAGGCACACCTTCCACAGGGATTTTGTGCCATTTGTGAAGTAGTTGGTTTATATCTCTACCTTGACTTTGCAACTTTGCTCTCTGAGAAAGTGTATGAAACATTGCCACTCATGACTTTTAATCTGCAGATACACTTAAACTTCCTCAAAACCCATCCAGTACTAACACTGTGAGGGCAATGAGGGCACGTTCTGTACTGTGAGGAGAGCCTGGGAGTCCTTCTCGCTCTGCACTGCACACTGAATTAACTTGGTGAAGAGGAGGGTTACTGTGCCCTGTAAGACTTCCTGCCTCGCCCTTCCCTGACTAAGTTTCATTAGTCCATCTACCTCCTGCCAGTCTGAATAATAGATCAGAGTAGAATTATATCTTCCACAACTCACTGGACAGTAAAGACAACGTATTTCAACTAAATCAACCAGGGCACGCATTTACATCAGCTCACTATCACCATATTCTCCAACTGCCAGTAACACATTTCTCTGTATGCTTTTGAAAGGGTAAAAGTTATAAAATGAATAGAAGGGAGGTTTCCTACTTACAATGCAAATACAATAGATGGGTTTAGGGATTACAGTTGAGATGCTTGCTCCTTAAGGATCAAGATCAGATATGTCCATGTGTCATGGGTAATTAAGTCCAACTATTTTGTCAGACTACCCTTTCCAATTTCCAGCCATCTTGGTGCTTATGAATTATGTATATAAAGTAAAGTATTTGGATTTCTAAGACAGCCATACACAAAGGAAATTTGAACAGTCTTTGCTTGAATACCTGACAGATGTGACTACTCACACTACTGCAGGAAATACAAGCATTGCCTCACTGCTGGTGTAAATGACCATCCTGTCAAGGGGGAGTGCTGCTGCTGCACACAAAAAGGAAGCAGAAACCACAGAAAGGGAAATTGCAGGAGGCTGAGGCAAAACTCTGAGCCTTGCCTACTTTTGTGTGCTGCAGGCCTCTATGGGTGAAACAGATTTTTCACTGTAACCACTGAAGTAAATGAGATGTTACCTTTCAGAGCTTTCTTGGAGCTAGCTGTTAGGTAGCATAGGGTTTTTGTTTCTCCACTCCTCCTTTTTTTCCCAAGCTTATACTGGGATTAGCGGAGGGGTTTCTTGCTGTGGGCTAGCTCTACTAATGCAGTTCTTGAAGTGCCACTTCCTCAGTAATTACACTGATCAAAAACTGCAGGAAGGGGATCAGCCATTCAGCTGTCCTCTAGGTTCTCTTAATTTCTGCCAGACGAAGTGTTTGTCTGTGCACTTGGGCCAGGAACTGATCTCAGCTTAACAACTTGTCAGAAAAGAATTGACTTTTAGGACAAGTGACAGCACACCTGAGTGCAGGATGGGAATAAGGCAGTGGCTTAACACGCACTGCAAAGCCAGCTATATTTTTACAGAGAGAATATAAATGAAAGTAATGCTTTGTACAATTGTCCACCCATTCTACAGCACTCTCTGTAATTATTTTTCTGATTTATTCTTTCCATTACTCCCCCAAATTGAACAGAAAACCAATACTTACTAGGGTCCAAAAGAGGTAAATAGTGAAGAGTGCAACAGTGAGTGCAATGAGGCCAACAGCTTCTAGCCTACTACTAAAGTGCAGATGATCCACTGCTCCTCGCAGACACAACCAGCCAGAAATGGTTGCCAGTGGAGTGATAAACAAGAAGCACACCATGTCTCCAAACAGAGTCCGTTTCTCATGCTGGGGGCCAGGGTTCCTCAGCCACTGCAGGCAAAACACAAACAAAGTGGGTGTGAGCAAAAGGAGGATGTTTTACTCAAGATGAGCTGCCCACTTGCAAAATGCAGACCTGCCCTTTGAGGAGGGAACATGGGCCACACATAGGACGTGGCTTTGGGTGTCCCTAGAGAGCTCCCACCTGAACTCCTTCCCCCTCATCGCCTGCTGATGTGCACCTCAAGCCACGCACATCTCCTGTGTGGTTTATTCAGCTGCAGAAAAAGCTAAAGGGGACTTGTTCTGCATAGTGCAGCCCCTGGCATCCAGCTGCTGACATGTTTGAGAATCCCCCTTCTTAAAGCAGAAAGAATAGCATGTTCTCCTGGCAACTCAAGAGCACGAAAAATGTTTTTTAATACTTTGTGTGCTACTTTTTTTCTTTTTTTTTTGCATTCTGCTTGTAATATTGACAGAGACATTCTCAACTTACTTTCAGATATGTGCATGCAAGCAAGGTTGAATGCACACAAGACTGCTTTTATTAAGATGATATTAATCCTGCGAAACAGAGTGCCTGGAAGTCAACTGCTGAAGGGAAGGTTGATTAAACAGCTATCAAGCCCATACACCCATGCTTCTGTAAACACACTTTTAGATAGCAGAGGTGAAAGAAGTCAGCCTACAGCAGTACACCAAGACCTTTTAATAAAAAAACTCCTCACCACTCAAGTCAATATTTGAACAGGAAGACTACCAAGCCCTGCACTTTTTCCCAATGCAAGTCATAGGATTTGGTCAAGAGTGCTCTGCATCATCCATTTTGTTGTTGGGGGTGGTGTTTTTTTCTTTCTTTTTTTTTTTCCTTTTGGCATAATTCACAGTGCTGAACCCCAACCAGCCTGGGAGTTGTACGTATCACCCTAGCCACCAAGGGCAAACACCATGCACCGCATGGGACTGTGTCTGCCCCAGCAGATCCACGATGTAAGCAAAGGAGTCAAAGCTGGGAGTGGGCAGTAGAAGTGGAGAGAGCTGCTGGAGCCTGGCACAGGGCAGCCTATTGATTCCCAGCTGAGACACTGGCTCTGCGTGTGGAGGAGACCATGATGAGAGCAAGGGAAGTCACACTCCTCCAGGGAGGTATTGCATTATCTGTCAGCAGAGCAGAAAGAAACCAAAGCCACTGCCAGTAGACATGGATATGGCTCATGCACCCTTCAGCTGTTTGTCCCTCTCTTTCTTCCCTGCATATTATACATGGCAGTAGACATCTTGTCGCTTTAGCTTGAGAAACAAAGGTTGGTGGACAACTTCCTCCCTTCATGAGTTAGTTAATGCTCTTTATTCCCACCCACCTTGTTGGTTTTTTAATTCCCTGTTACAGTGCTACAACAAAGACCTGGAGGAACAGCTGGACTCAAGAGTTTTTGACAAGAGAAGGCAAGGCTAGGAGCATTGTCCAAGCTAATGAATATTTGTCATCTAGGTATCCTACCTCTCCATTACTTTCAGAACCTGCTTCATCTTTCCCTGCTTTGCCCACACCTCAAAAAAAACTATACAGCACTTACCTCTCTATCTTCATATGGGCTAAAACAATAGTCAAGACACTGAGTGCAACCAGGAACAGGTAGTCGCTAATCTGGCACTAGCAGAAAGACACAAATCAGTAGGCAAATTTGCCTTAGCCTCATCATCTCTCACAGGGAAATAATGAGTTACCTACTTCGTGGGATTTTTGTGAGGTTTAACTGCAACACAGTAACTCAGCAGCCTAGTAACCATTTTAATGTATGACTCAGGAGAGTTTAGGAGAGAGTTTAGGAGAACACAAAAATATGTTCATAAACATTTTTTGCAGGATGTAGGCTTGTACTCTGCTTGAATACTTTTAAAATCCTAAGAAAGTGGGTAGTGATTCCTAACTGCTATGTACTACTAAAAGCTAGATGCTGTAAGGGAAAATACTAGATAAAGAGGGAGGAAGTGGCTTAAGCTTGGGCTTACTTAAAACACCAGAATATCAGGTGTGGTGTGTTCACCTCCAACCAGCAGCTAAGCACCCACACAGGCACTTGCTCAACTCCCCACTCCATCAGTATGGAGGAGAGCACAGGAAGAGGCTGCAGGCAGACCTTGATTCAGCAGAGCTTGTGCAAAATAAGGAGGCATAATTTTACATTTGAACAACTTTTTATTTTACTGTAACTTTACAGAGAATGCTATAATGTCATGTGTGAAAGGCTCACACCACTTTGCTTGGAGCTTTCATTCCACTTAAAAACACTCTCAAGGGTGCATGCATAACAGTTCCAGGTTATATTTGGATGCTTCTAGACAGGATTGCAGCCTTCCTTCCTCTTGTTCATTTTCCACGAATCACTGTAATGTGAAACCGCCAGGAAAAGGAGGGAAACTGAAAGCACCTGGCAGTGGAGATTCTGCTTTTAAAGGTGACTGTGAAAAGGTTTTGTGAAAAGCACTTAAAGGTGACCAGCAAGAAAACTGCTGATCATCTGCACTTCTCCTTGATCTCAATGAGAACTGCAGATGTTCACCGCTTTCCCAGGTCAGACCTTAAAATGTCACTCTCTCCTTATCTCAGCACTACGTGGTGACTGTCTCTCAAATCACAGTCTGTTGTGATCCTTTTGGCATCCACGCAGTGCAAGAAAATAGTGTTTATTGATCTGAGTGAGAAGGAAGAACAATAGGAACAGACACATGCAAGGAAACAGACATATGTTGTCATCCCTGCCCTATGACTTTGACACAACACACAGCACAATGCACTTGAATTAAGACAGCACTCTACGCTGTGCCATCTAACTTGGTTGAAATCTTGAGCAGACAAAAATGGTGTGAGATTGCTTCACAGTCTGATGGCTCCCTGCACGCCTTATGTCTTATCTGACTCATCTGAACAAAAAATCAAACCCAAGCAATTCAAATATTAGATGAGGGTGAGACAGACAAGAGTAGCATTAAATAATAAATAAAAATCCCACCGTTCTACAGTCCAACCTTAAAAGCTGGAGAAATTTCCTTAGCTAGTTCTGAAGTGGATGTTAGAGGCAACAAATAAGTCATTTCAGTGGCTGTAGGGATTTCAGTCATAGCAATTATTTTTCTCTTGAAGTAGTGCACACGTGTTTCTAAATCTACTTCTGTTTAGATCCTGTGTTTCAGTCTTCCATTTTGGAAATGCGCACTGGCAAGATACATTACAGCTAAAAAGCCAAGTCAGCAAACCCTTTTGTGAAACTGAAACACACACAATGATCCCAACAAGGTGCTGAGCTGATTAATTAGCGTGGCAGTACAGTAGAGACTACCCTGCTGGCAAAGGACGAGATGTAAGGCCAGATACACGGTCAAATCCACACTACGATACTCTGAAATATACTCTACTAACATGTGCCACTGTGCTCAATTATTTCTCCAATAAGTGAGACTTTCACTGTCATCATTCCGTTTTAGAAAAAAAAAAAAGAGGTCAAAAGTGTTGTGTTTGAAGCAAAATGCTGGCCTGCCTCGCCATGTGATTTATCAAGTGCTGTCTTAAAATAAGTAGTGATTCCTGTTCCTGGAAGACAGGTGGAGACCCAGAGTACCAAGACTCAAATCGACTTCAGCAATGGCAGCAAGCACAAATCCAAGAGTGGGTATGCGCGGGCGTCTGATGCACAACCTGGTATCAGGCTGACACAAGGAAAGAAACCCTGTGCCGGCAGACTAACACACACCGGGTGAGAACACAGCCCCTCGAAGAAATGCGGGGGCGCACCTTTGCCCCTCACATACCAAGTGGGGTCTGCTCAGAAGCAAAAGGCTCCCCCTGAACGCTGCGCAGCTGTGGCTGCGTGGTACCGCTGCCGCCATCGGCCTGGGCAGGGCAATGCCTGCGGCCACACGTCTCCTTTGCCCCGCGAATGTGTGCCTCAGCCTGCAGGCAGTCAGAAAAGCTCTGCCGAGGCATGCTGGCCATCTCCTCCTCTGCTGGGACACAGCGGATTTCAGCTGGGAAACAAAAAGAATGCAGAGAAAATGAAGTCCCCTTGCACAAGACTGGGCTTCAGAAGCCTGACTTGTTTATCCCAGCAGTCACACACTCAAAATGCATCCTGGGTGAGGCCTAAAGGAGGGAGAATTGAAGGGAGAAGTCAGTGAAGGAGAAGTGCTGCTTAAGCTAATGGACAATGTTGGCTTAAGAATGAACGGGTAACAGTCGGCCCTAAACAAATTTAGGGAAAAAATAAGAAAAAAATTCCCAGCCTTCAGAGAATCCAGCTCTGCAACAGCCTCCCAAGAACAGCGGTTTCAGGTAAAACCACTAAGGTTTTGGGAAAGGACTTACTTATGTTTTGAAAGGTATTTTTTTGTGTACTGCATTTGATGTGAGGAAACACCCACCCGAGGCTCCTTCACCTCATATGCTGACACGTGTAATACACGTGCAAAGAGTTGTTGCAGTTACTTCATAAAACAGAGTGGAATTTAATTATTATCTGCCCTAGGAAGATTTATCTGAGCTCTCGACCTTTATCAGAGGGCCTCCACAGCTTCCTTCAACTGAATGCAAACTCTAGTGCTCAGGAAATTAATGTGGATTTGCAAGAGTGCCTGAGAGACTTTTGGCTCATGGGTCCACTACCGGCTTCCAGAATTTTACCTGGAGAGGCTCAGACTGGGAATTTATCTAACCTAACCAAGACAAGCTGCCAGCAGAAAACTGTTGTAAAACATCTCCACAACTCTAAGATGCTTCACCATTGCCAAAAGAGAAATCCTGGAAATGCTCACCTCCACAGGTCTCACTTCAATTAGAGATGACTCACAAATACTAAGCAAGGTAGGTGCACAGTGTTTTCCAGCTCAGATCCTAAGGCTACAACCTGTTTCTACTGGGAAGCCCTTTTTAGTTCACTGCATTTTCCTTGGAAAATTGATTTTACATAAATCAATGCTGGAGTTATACCAGCAGCACAGAAGATTCCACAGAGTATGAAGAAAACCTATTGCGTTGCTTTTTAGTAAAGATATTT